TCCGATTTTTTGTTTTGTCAAAATTTTTCGTAAATTTGGGAAAAATATTCCGATAAAATTTTCTTTTTCCCGGGGATAGGAAAATTTCACAACGGGTGAGTGATAAAATAATAAATCACACGATTTTATGCCGCTTGCCGAGTTGAACCAAACATTTATTTCACCAAGATTGTTTGTTAGCTCCAACAGATTGTTTCTCAGGAAAAACGCGAATTTCTCTCAGCGGCCTCCAGAGGTATCATCAAGCCGGAAATAAAAACTTCACCCTCCCACAAATTCATCAAGCCAAATGATATCTTTGGACACGAACAATAACGATATCAAACAATGATATGAAACAATGATCCCCACGATAATTGCTCCCCGCAGAATCCCATCCACGAATCCTCAGAAATTACTCGTTACCCGCGTTTTCCCTCCGTTTTTCCTCACCAATCCCGAAAAATCCCTCCCCCTCCTCTCATTGCTGCCTAAATCCCCGCTAACACCTCACGGTACATCTCATTCATTTTAATACATCCCCGACTAAATCTTCAATGCAAGCCACAAAGAGTGTTTGTTCCTCTAAAAAAAAAACGGAGAAAGAATAAAAAAAAAAATCTCAAAGTAGTTTTGTCTCGCCATTTCGTTTGTTTCCCCATTTCTCCACCATCTTCTCTTTTATTTCCTCAACAATCTCCAATGCCATTGTTCCCAGTATAAATTTCCCTTTTTTTATCCCACCCCTCGGTTTTTGTTACCTCGAGATTTTCAAATCTTTTATTTTGGCCCTCGGAGGTACGTCTACGACAGTGTCGGTAATCTCGAAGGATTCGAAACGGAATAGAAAGCGCAAAGTGGTTATAGCTCTGGCGTTACGGCTATCTGTGGCCTTCAATCTGAAAATCTGGAAATCTGGAATCCTGAAGAGGGACCGAGTGTCGGTGAGAGGAAGAAGAGGGCAACACTCATTCCACGGGCTTTTGTTTTTCCGTTACCTATTTCTCTTCATTCGCATTTTCTGCTTTATTTTTCCTCTCATTTGTCCTTTCCTTTCTCCATTCCCCCCCCCCCTTTTTTTCTCCTTTTTTTATAATGTTTTTACTTTGTTTTTTCCCGTTCTCTACTCTTTCGACGCGAAGACGTGGAAATTGCTTCGTGAAATATATCGTATTAAGGGGGGTGGAAAGAGGGGAGGGAAAATGGAGGGGAATTACATTTTTTTTTTATCTTTTGGTTATTATTCTTCGCACTTCGGACAATTCCATCATCGCCTTGTTTTTCTTTCGCTTCGGGTGACGAGCGGCCGAGGGGGAGGAGGGGGTGGAGGGGGAGGAGAAGGAGGAGGGGGTGGAGGGGCGGAAGAGGGTGGTTGGCCAATTAAGGTGGCACCGTTCATCTTCTGGTTGTCGTCCATAACGGCATTTTCATTTTTCACGAAATAAGATGGAAAAAGAGGAAAGGAGAGGAACAGGGGTACCAGTCGTTGAGTTAAACTACTTGGATAGAACGTTTTTGAAAGTGATTCATGGAGTTAACCGTTTGCCTTTGGAGAGGATTTTTACGTCGTTACCACGTTTTCGTTATTGCTAAACGGATTTTTTTTTG